TCAGATAATTCTGTCTTCCAAGAGAAGAGTAAGGACTGTCTCGGCCTCTCCATGCGATAGACGGCTCCACGCCAAGACAAGACCAGTCAGGCTAAGCTGAACGTACAGGTTCATGGGGCAGCCAAGTGATAGACTATGCTTAGATGAAGCCGGACCTTCTATCACCCTTCTGTGGTCAATGGTTAGGTTTACTCTGAGATGACTGGAACCCGCCCCCCCTGCTCCCCATTTTTTACATAGGTGTCACAGGGTCAGGAACTGAGAGGAAATCTTCCCAATGAGGACACAGATTGCAACATAAACGTGACGGATGTTACAACTCTTACCGTCTGTATAAAAATACAAAGCTTGGTTTTGGCTGAAGTTGGTTTGGAGAATCGCGGAAGAGGAACATGGCCATGTTGCTTAACATTAAGCCCCCCATGGGATCTTCAAGTTAGAATTTTGGGGGTGACATAGGGTTAGCACCTGGCATGTACCTGGGTGGAGACTGAATGTGGGAGGAAGCTTCCCTTGCACCCCTTGTCCCAAAGACTCTGGAGTTGGGAACAGAGTCTGAGTGGACAGCAACCCAGATAGCAAGGATAACTTGCCACAAACTTGTGTCCGGGTTAAATTGTAATTCTTGTTAACTTGCTGCACACTCCTGGCAGGTTGTAGACTTGCAGAACACTCGCAGCACAAGTTCTAGGCGACACTTTTTGAATTTGAAGCAAATTTGCTCAGCAAGTCTACAGCAAGAGTCCTGCAGGTCTTAGCAAGAGCTCTGCAAGCTGGCTGGTCTGGAGACTCGCTGTAATTGTGCAACAAAATTGTGAAGCTTGGCATGCAATAGTTTAGCCAGTCATTCTCAAACATGCAGCACAATTACTTGCTATCTGGGAAGTGGCACATGTGCCAGTGGTGATCACACCATGCAAGCTGGAGTTCCGGCACCGGATCGGGTCAGGCTGAGCTGTAGTCAAAACCAGGCAGGCAGCGGAGTACAGAGCAGGATCCAAGATCGAGGTCAAACAAGTCAGGGGTCAAATCCAGTTGGGCAGCGAGATACACAGGCAGGAGACAGAGGCAGGTCCAGCAGGCAAGCAGGAGGTCGAGGGCAGGCAGCAATCAACAAGGTCAAGGGCAATCAGGGTCAAAAGTCAGCAAGGTAATCAGAAGGGCAAGGGACACGGGGGAAGCTGAAGACAATCCAGCAACTTGAAGTCAGGTAGGCTGGCTATAAATAGGCTGATCAGGAAACAGAATCACGTCCAGTGCGCTTGGAGCACTTTTGCGCGGCTGTTCTGTGGCGCACGCATGAGCGCAAGTGCCCGTCTACCCGCAGTACGGAAAAGTGGACCCCACACATGCGCAGTAGCAGGTGGTTTCTGACACCACCTGTCCTGGATTCACCTGGACAGTCCGGGTTTTGAGTCCTGTATGTGCTGTGTATGGGTTTCAGCTGGCCTGAAACCCAAAAACAGCACATACAGGACTCAATACTCGGACTGTCCAGGTGAATCTGGGACTGGCGGGCAACCCTAGGGTGGCATCTCCCTACCAGACTCCATTGTTTCTGACCAAAAATTATGTTTTTTGGTGACTTTACCCTTGAACACAAGATCTGCGTGTTTCCGATGTATTTCTTCTGTATGTACATGAGGTGTCTTTTTCTTTACGTGATGTCAATTATTTTTTTTCTCTTTCTACTCCAGCTCTCGGCAAAGACATTTCAACCTGTAGGACATCTACCATCACCGGGACTTTAAAACGCCCTTCACTGCAAGACGAAGAAAAGATGAAGAACCACCAAAAGGGTTCGAACTTCAACAGTCTTCCAGCCAACGTGTCCAAAATGCATCTTCAAGGCTCTCCGCATTATCTCGGAAGCATCAATCTAAATGAGTACAACAACCACACGCTCACCCTAAAAAAAGACAAAAACCAGCCCCCAAAGCCCATATACATGTGCGAGGGGGACATCTTCAAAAAGTTGGACTCTGAGCTAACCAGAGCGCAGGAGCAGTCAATGGACGCCAGCTACGTCATTTTACCCAGCAGTACGGCCACGCTGAGGGCCAAGCCAAAGGAGGACAGCAAATACAGCATGAACATTGACCAGATGCCGCAAACCCGGCTCATCCATCTCAACATGGCCGACCCCAGTTACATGGTGAAGAGTCCGCCCCGGGAACGTATGGGCATAAAATGCCCCGAGCAGGGTTCTCCAATGCAGAAGCAACACCTGCACCCCAGCGAGTCTCAGATCCCCATGGGGCTATGCGAAAAGTTAGAATTAGGGACAGCGGGCATTATGCCCAAGAACGAAAACATCTCTACGCTATCGATGAGCTCCTTAGAGGTGAGAGGGATTGAACGCAAAGCTAATGATGAGTCAGTGATGACGGATGTGGGGTGTAATTCGGGGCAACTTAAGTTTATTGAATTCACTGTTCCCCCGTATTTGGGTCATTATTGTGTATTGCCGCTTGAAGTTTTTTTATCCAACTTTTTTTTGCTGTCTTTTTATTTTTCCACCAAAAACAAAGGCTGAGGGACTGTTTTGTTGGCGCAAGAACAGGTCCAATTGTAATAGTCATCTAGCTTGGTGATTTATTGGATGAGAACATCAAGTACGGCCAATGTGTTTTGAGGGAAAGGCCTCCCCCTTCAGGGCCTAAGGGTATTGGTTCAGAATCATTCCCAGAAAAAAAATAGTTCGAAAGGCTAGTGTAAGACTCAATGGAGCTGAAATGTCATTGTGACCTTGAGACAGAGAGGATGGCTGAGAGGATCCAGTCTGCTTCTAGGTGCAGATTTCTCTAGTATGGCCTTAATTCAAGACCTCAGGGTCAAGCATAAGTGTGCACACATAAGTACAAACACACATACACCCTATTGCCAGAAGTATTGGGACGCCTTTACACGCACATCAACTTTAATGGTATCCCAGTCTTAGTCCGTAGGGTTCAGTATTGGGTTGGCTCCGCCATTTGCCGCTATAACAGCTCCGCCTCTTCTGGGAAGGCGTCCACAAGGTTTAGGAGTGTATCTATGGGAATGTTGGACCATTTGTGAGGTCAGGTACTGATGTTGGGGGAGGGGCTCGGAGTCTCCGCCTCTAATTCATCCCAAAGGTGTTCTATGGGGTTGAGGTCAGGACTCTGTCACGTTCCTCCCCCTCCCCCATCCATGTCTTTATGGACCTTGCTTTGTGCACTGGTGCGCAGTCATGTTGGAACAGGAAGGGGCCGTCCCCAAACTCCTCCCACAAAGTTGGGAGCATGAAATTGTCCAAAATGTCTTGGTGTGCTGATGCCTTAAGAGTTCCCTTCACGGGAACTAAGGGGCGGAGCCCAACCCCCGAAAAACAACCCCCCCCATAATCCCCCCTCCCCCAAACTTTACACTTGGCACAATGCAGTCAGGCAAGTACCGTTCTCCTGGCAACCGCCAAACCCAGACACGTCCATCGGATTGCCAGACAGAGAAGCGTGATTGGTCACTCCAGAGAACACGTCTCCACTTCTCTAGAGTCCAGTGGCGGCGTGCTTTACACCACGGCATCCCACGCTTTGCATTGCACTTGGTGATGTAAGGCTTGGATGCAGCTGCTCGGCCATGGAAACCCATTCCATGAAGCTCTCTACGCACTGTTGTTGTGCCAATCTGAAGGCCACACGAAGTTTGGAGGTCTGTAGCTATTGACTCTGCAGACAGTTGGCGACTTCTGCGCACTGTGCGCTTCAGCATGCGCTGACCCCGCTCTGTCATGTGACGTGGCCGACCACTTCCTGGCTGAGTTGCTGTTGTTCCCGGTCGCTTCCACTTTGTTATAATCCCAGTAACAGGCGACCGCGGAATATTTAGTAGCTGGGAAATGTCACGGATGGACTTATTGCACAGGTGACAACCTATCACGGTACCGCGCTTGTAGTCACTGAGCTCCTGAGAGCGACCCATTCTCTCACCAATGTCTGTAGAAGCGTCTGCATGCCGAGGTGCGTGATTTTATACACCGGGGGACCATGGAGGTGATTGGAACTTATATATCCTATATTGCCAAAATACTTTTGGCAATATAGGGTATATTATACATTCTGCTGCTCTGGGGGAACAACGGGATGTAAGCAGAAAAAAGACTGATAAGAAACCCCCATGTTCATGATAGTTCCCAAAATCTTGCAGTGATGTTTGAATTATCTATCATCATCAGATATTATTATTATTATTATTTTTATTATTTGATCCTTCGAAATATTGTATTTCTCTCCCTAATAGGGCTGAACTTACATATTTTCCTTTTGTTTGCATTTACAGAGAAGAAAATCGCGGTATGCAGAACTAGATTTTGAGGTAAGTTTGTTTCTTCATTTTTATTCACGAAATACAAAGCAAATATTTTCTGTGCCGATTGGTTTGTATTGGAGATGCACCGATACCGATATTGGTATTGGTCCCGATACGGAGTATTTGAGCGAGTACTCTACCAAATGCTCCCATAATTACCCCGACACTGGAACTTCCGGTCAGAGGGAGATTCCCTCTGACGGGCAGTGCCATGAGGAAGCATGGAGCCAATTTCCCGGCCAATCAGGAAGCCGGGTAGCGTGCAATGACGCGCTGCCCGGCTTCCCGATTGGTCAGGAGGCTAGCAAATCCAGTAGCCGGGCGCCGTGTAATGACGCAGCGCCCGGCATTCTGATTGGCCGGTAAGCCGGCGTCGTGCTCCCTCATCATCTCATGAGTCATAATATTAAGAAAGTGACCTTAAAGCATTAGTTTGTATTGCTTTAGAAAAAATGTGACCTGTCCCTTTAAGAAAAAGTATCGGTAATTGGTATCTGCGAGTACTTGATCAAAAGTATCGGTACTCGTACTCGGTCCTAATAAAGTGATATCGGTGCATCCCTACGGCCAATTAGGAAGCTGGGCGCGGGTCATGACCCATCTCCCAGATTCCTGATTGGTTAGGAAACTGGCTTCATGGTGCCTAGTGACGCTGCAAGGCAGGATACTAATCAGGAAGCCGGACAGCACGTCATGACCTCTGAGTCTCTGCAGAGAGACTACTGTTTACACGCAGAGAGCAAGGGTCCCTTTCTATAGCACGCCGGCTCGGGACAGGCTTCTCTACTCAGGCTGTGTCTTTACATCTCCCTGGAGTCTAAATCTCTCATTTATTCCGTCATGCAGCGCTGTACTGAAATGAATTTTATACCCTTTTTTGGGGACAGATAGAGCTTTCTTTTGGTGGTATTTATGCTCCTGATGCAGGAAAGGGGGTTCCAAGCCACGCCCCCTCCAGCCTTCTTGCAGACTCTTACATACGAAAGGCATGATGGCAAGAAAACGCCCAACAAGGTCCGTCGCGGCCTCCGATCAGACATGAGCCTGCCTCGGAAGTTTGAATGCGGTTGTTGATACAGGACGTAGAGGTAGAGAGTTGCATAGTGTAGGACTTTAGGAATTTGTTTTGGTCATTTGTGTTTTTTACATAAATATAATCTCTTCTTTTCTCCCAGAAAATTATGCACACCAGGAAACGCCACCAGGACATGTTCCAGGACTTAAATCGGAAGCTTCAGCATGCGGAGAAAGATAAGGAGTCTCCAACAGCAGAGGGCAAGGTGAGGCTGCCACGAGAAGGTCCTTCTTCACTTTGTATAACCCCTTCCCATCCACAATACGTATATAAACAGAGGGAGCAGGAAGCAAGATATTGTCAGGAGCGCAATAATCTGGCAAACAGGAAGTGCAGAGGCGTGGCTAAAATAGGAAGTTCAGGGGAGGAGCAAGGAGTTCAGAGTTCAGCAGAAACTAGGTTTACTTGAGGATTACGGAGAAAGATAAGGAGTCTCTAACAGCAGAGGGCAAGGTGAGGCGACCATGAGAAGGTCCTTCATCACTTTGTATAACCATCTTCCCATCCACAATATGTATATAAACATTACCCAGCATGGTGCATAGTGATTATCCTTATTAATGTCCCCCCTATGAGTACCTGCAACCAACACTGTCACAATCTGGGATCAGGCTCAGAGTCCAGTAGCTGAAACAGTTGACAAATTGGTGGTATAACAGGCCGGATTGGGTACACAAGCAGACGGTAGTAGTGGAGGAGCAGGCAGTAGCGTTGTCAGGGATCAAGCCGAGGTCAGGAGGCAAAGGTATCAGTATGTAGCAGAAGATGATGAGAGTAGTCGTTGAATCAGCAGCCAAAGGTCGGTACACGGATAGCAGTATGAGCAGATTGTATCACAGAGGGAGCAGGAAGCAAGATATTGGCAGGAGCACAATAATCTGGCAAACAGGAAGTGCAGAGGCGTGGCTAAAATAGGAAGTTCAAGGGAGGAGCAAGGAGTTCAGCAGAAACTAGGGTTACCTGAGGATTACACAGGAGATCAGGCGAGGAGCTATCCAAGGTTCTAAGGTGGCTCAGCAGGTAGAACCACCGCCAGCTACAGCAGAGGCCCCGGGTTCAGATCCTGACAAACAAATTGGGCACTGCCCACCCTCAGACTTAGCGGTCACGGACTACTTGTATCCCCACTGACAACAAGGAAGCATTCGGAGAGATTCCGAATCACAAAATGATCACATGTAAGCTGAAGAGTGAGAAAAAAAAATGAAAACCTTCAGCCTGCAATTGAACGCTGCCACAATGAGGTCTTCAATGACATACGTTTAATACTGTAATTGTCAAATACAGTTCCAGAATTTAAAAAAAATATAACGCAATAACCAACTTAAAGGAGAACTATGAGGTGAATGATTTTCACTCAACGTCATAGTTCGAGCCGACGTGTTACAATGAAACTCTCACAGGTCGGCTCAATAGATCGGGAAGTGAGCGAACGCATACCGCCACTCGCTCAATTTCCGATCATCTCCCTGCAGAGAGCCGCAACTGTCAGTCACCGCTCCTCACAGGGATTCCCCCCTCCCTGCTCCGATCCTCCAGTGCTGAGTGGAGAAACGGAGGAGGCAGGCACAGCTGTCAATCACGCAGCTGGGTGGATCTCGGCAGCATTGGCGGGATCCGTCTCGGCTGCGGAGATCTCGGTATATAGTGAGCAATAGCCTGCTATATACTGAGCTTTGGGTCACAGGAGGAGGTTAGAATATGTCCTCCCGTGACCCTTAAGGCACCTGGGCGTACCATAGGTGTGTTTTTTCTGCTCCTTTTTATACCTCCCTGGCAGTATGATTTTTTATTATTTGTTTCCTTTATTTTCTCTATCTATTTTGGGGGGTTTCAAACTTCCTGCCGGTTCTGCTTGCAAGGGACGGAACCGGGAAGTCGGCGGCTCTCTCTCTCTCATCTGTCTATCTATCTATTTATTATCTATCTCTCTCAATTCAATTCAATTCAAATAAGCTTTATTGGCAGGACCAAATACATTTTAGCATTGCCAAAGCATATGGGGAGGTTATATGGGATGGAGGGGGGGGGATCTCTCTCTATCTCTTAATCTATCTATCAATTATCTATCTCTAATCTCTCCTATCTATCTATCTATCAATTATCTATCTATCTCTAATCTATCTATCTCTCTCTATTTATTATCTCTCTCTCTCTCTCTGTCCCCCCTCTCTCTCTCTCTCATCTATCTATCTATTATCTCTATCTATCTATCTATCTATCTATCTCTAATCTATCAATTATCTATCTATCTCTAATCTATCTATCAATTATCTATCATCTATCTATTATCTATCTATCTATCTCTCTCTATTTATTATCTCTCTCTCTCTCATCTATCTATCTATTATCTCTATCTATCTATATATCTATCTCTAATCTCTCTAATTTTGACTTTTCTATTATCCTTCTACAGATAGAGAAACAGCAGACACCCAGCAAGAGGTCTTGGGAAGGAATGAGGAAGATTCAGTCTCCGCCATCTTGGGTTAAAAAGGACATGGAGCCAGTGTCGCCTTCTCCCTTAGAACTAAAGACTGTGGAGTGGGAAAAAACTGGGGCGACGATACCTCTGGTGGGACAAGACATAATTGATCTTCAGACCGAGGTCTGAAGCTTCAGGAAAAAGACTTCTTTTTATTTTTAAAGAATATGGTTCCATATAAAACAAAACGGAGAGATTGTTTGGTTTCTTTTGAAACCTTGTTAAAGTACTTTTTCCGCGTTGTTCTCAGAAGGAATATTCCGTTAGGCTCTTAGAGGTAGACACACCGTGCGCTCTCTCTCTCTCTCCCGGGGGTGTGACAGGAAACAGAAGCATCGGCTAAAGCGGTCAGATGACGAGGCCAAGCTGCACGAGGACCAACTTGGGAAGAGTCATCGGGCCTTCAGGCGGAGGTGACGCTGAGGAATCCACGACGGTTGCCCGGCAACCGTTCAAGAAAAAAACACAAATTCTTTAAGACAAAAAGACGCTCAATAGCTTCCGATAGCAATTAACAATCATATAGTACTTTGTTGTATTATAGAAGAGCTCTC